ATTTTATATACAATGTCAGCATACATTTAGAATTACTTTTATGTATTTTTACTTAAAATTACGTAGGACATAAAATGGACATTATTTTTGTCCATTTACTTATACTTATCAGATTTTTAAAATTTCTTTGTAAGGTTTTATTCATTCACTTCAATCTAAAAGACTTCTTTTAGCATTTCTTTTCAAGCAGGCCTAGATGTAATAAAGCTCTGTCATCTTTTCGATGTTTGGGATGTCTCCATTTTATCCTTATTTTTGAAGGATGTTTTTTCTACATACCGACTTCCCTCCCCCTTTACTTTAAATATACCCTCATCCTACACTTTAAATATCCTGTCTTTTAGGTTCGTAGTGTCTGTTAAGATGTGTGGTACTAATTATTTTGCAGATATCTTGTATGTTTTGTTTTACTTTTTATCTTTGTGCTTTCAAGACTTTTCTTCCTCCTTTTTTCATTTTTTGCAGTTTAATATACCTGTCTCACAGCTGAGCTCTTTTATTTGAAATTTTTGTACTTTTTTTGGTGTACAGATTCTTTTTGAGGTTTTTTGGCCATTCGTTCTTCCATTTCTCCCCCTTTCTTTTTCTTCTCGTTATAATAGTTTCATAATATATGTGTTGGCTTACTTAATTTTGGCCTCTGCTCTCTTCTTTCCCCCCTTTTTTTTACTTGGAATTGCTAATTTCAGTTGTCCTGTCTTCAGGTTGCTTCTTGACTCTGTTTAGCTCCTCTAGTAAATTTTTCATTTTAGTTACAGTACAGTACTATTTTATCAAGGGTATCATCCAGGAAGAGTGCAAACGGTCATTGCAAAGACAGAAGAGGAAGAAAAGACCAAAATGGATATAAGAAGATACTCTGAAAATTGCACTGGAGCACAGAGAAGCCAAAGTACAGGGAAGAATTCAAGATACTAAAGAGTTGAACAGAAGATTTCAAAAGGCAGCATGGGATGGCAACACAAAATATTACAATGAAATGTGCAAAGAGTTGGAGTCAGAAAATCAAAAGGGCCGAACTCGCTCAGCATATCTTAAGCTCAAGGAACTGAAGAACAAATTCAAACCTCAAGTTGCTATAATCAAGGATGCTTTCGGCAGAGTGTTAAATGATCCAGAAGTATTAAAAGAAGATGGAAGGAATATACTGAGTCACTGTATCGAAAGGAAGTGGAAGACACA